AAAAATTTCAGCTGAGCTCCCATGTAGCGGAGGGCCATGAGGAAACTGGAGAGCTCCGCTGCGGGCACAGTCTGAAACAGCATAGGTAGCGGTCCGTGCATCCCCGCAACCTCCTGCCACTGGGAGTCGAGTGAGCACAGCCCCCAACCACATCTCCTAAGGCGACAGTATTGCCCATGCACACCCGAGCCATCTCCAAACACATGCACGTCGAGCAGCAAATCAGGCGACCGCAGGGTCCACACCACTCGCTCCTCGAGGCAAGGGCTCGGAAAAAAGCCAGGACGGATCAGGGACGAGAAAACGGGTCCAAAACAGCGAGCGGTCGGCTGTCGTCTTCGCCAACTCAAGCATTTGACTGGCCAGCTCGAAGCCTGCCTTGAAATCCCGACGGCACTCAGAGTGCACAGGGCAACCACCAGGTGAAGCCGGCGCTCTTACACGCAAGGCACTCAGGATTAATCGCTCCACCAGCTTCATATAGCCTCTCTTGAGACCAGAAACCCCCGGAAAAAAAAAAAAAAAAAAAAAAAAAAAAAAAAAAAAAAAAAAAAAAAAAAAAAAAAAAAAAAAAAAAAAAAAAAAAAAAAAAAAAAAAACTTGAGGGGCCCCTGATGATTGGGGGTCCAATCGGGGCCTTTAAGCGAGGCAGGAAGGAGGGGGGACCTCAGAGGCTCGAGGAGAGGCGGATGGGGACACAGCGAGGCCCGGGACGAATGCTTCGCCAGAACCTGCTGCCAAATCCAACGCCTGGTAGCTTCGCCAGCCAACCTACCCACATCCCGCGGCGACATTTTCTCGATAAACACGGGACCACGGTGGGTCAGCCAGCGGAACGGGCCCAAAAACTTCCAAACTAAACGCATCATCGTGCCCGCAAGGGCCGATGCAGGCCCACGAATGTCGGACCAAACCTTATTCTCGGGGAGCGCCGACAGACGAGCCCAAGCCCCGCTCAGAAGACGTGCCATGTCAGATCTCGCCGCCCATCCGTCCCACAGCGCACGCATCCAGTAGAATATCGGCCCACGATTGCACTCGTAGGCTGGGTCGATCTGGCGGCCAGCGATCATGAGATCGAGAGACAAGGATCTGCCAGTGTGCCTGAACACGAAGCCAACTCGTGCAATCTGCCGAGCCCGCAACAGATGTGTGTGACTGACCCCGTGCACACCGACACCCCAAAGCATACCAGGTTTGAGGCCCGTCTGGACCAGTTTAATAGTTTTGCCCCCAGCTTTTGCCAGTCGCTTGCACCGAGGGACCCTGGAAGACATCTTGCCCAACCGCTTAGCACGAACAGCATGCAGGACACGATGACCACCCCCGAAATCTAATCCCAAGTTACGTACCGACCTGGTCAAGAACTTCACCGAAGATGGGCCGATCGTGCGAACGACGCTCCGAAGGTTCTGACCGACGACCGTATGGTGCTTCTTGGGGAGCGATATGTTGAGCCCGATCTGGAGCAGCTCAGAGGTGAGGAGGTTCTCAGCACCCTTGAGATCATGAGCCACCCCCCAAGCGCCCCCTACCCTTTGAAGCTGCAAGTCATCAGCCACAATCGCGAGATCGACGGAAGCATAACGCTGAACAACGGCATCAGCAGGGGGGAGGAGCACGAGTCGCAACAGCGAAGTAGCACAACTGCAACCTGCGACGGTTGTACGATTGGTCGAGACCACCTCTGTCGCAATCATTTCGAATAAGACCATCCTGTCCAGGCTGTAGGTGGCCAGGAGGAAACGTAGCGCTTTCCCAGAGAACTGATGTCTACGGGCGGCAGCGGCGAGCACATGATGAGGCACGTGTTCATATGCTTTGACCAAGTCTAGCAGCTTAGACCCTGCCGCCTTGCCCTGGCCCCGAGCCAACTCCGCCTTGAAACTCTGCTCCCAAACGCAAATATCACATGAAGCCCCGAATCTCCAAACCCAAAACTCCGGGGGCGATCGATCTCCCAGGGGCCAGCAACTTTCCAGCGGGCCCATCTGGACCACATCCTGAGAAGAGACGGGAAGATACCAATAGGCCGATCCCCTCCGTCTGGCGGTGGCTTGGGCAGGAGTGCGATGATGAGCAACAATGCCCAACACCTGGGCACGTGGACCAGGCGCTGCATCTGCTCCCAGATGCACAAGAAAACAGCAACGGCGCCTTCGTCGAGAAAAGACCAGTGCCGAGGATGAAGGCCACATACCCCCACAGCCGTGTGCGTACTGCACGACCGAATCAGGGCTGCAAGCTCCTCGTGCGTCGGGGGCTCAAGCTCGGGTTCATCTTCACACCAGCTGAAATCAGGATCAGGAAATACTTGTCCTACTCCCCAATGTTCATGCCAGCTTTGAGCTCGTGCTTCGGCTTCTTCCAAGACACCCAGAGGGGCACCAGATGGCCCTGAGAACTGCGAGAGCCCACACGTAGCCCACTTGGGAACCTCTCTGGTACACCTGTGTCCCAGACGAGCCCCGCTCGTAAGAGCCTCAACCACCCAGTTTCTCCCAGCCCTGGCCCTCTCCGAGGCCGCATGGTGCTCATGTTCTTGGGCCCACTTGCGAACCTGCCAAATCAACTCGTTGAGCTCCGAGGTCGCAGCCGGGTTGACTGCCGATATCCTAAGCCTCCAGGACTCCCAGTGCTTGCAGTCAGTGAACGGGGGCACATAGTTCACCAACTTCCTGAGAACCAGCCCAGCTTGCTGTAACCCCCCCAAGATAGGCCGCGGCCCATGCCAGAGGTACAAAATGTCCTGGAGCCGCCTCTCAAAAACCCGCCACATCCGACCTTCGCCGATGGCCCGAGGATGGGTGGACGCGGGCGGGCCTAGGAGGGGGGCCTGGACCACATTGGGGGGGCTTCCTCGTCCTCGATAACGTGGATCGTCTTCCACCTGGAGAACACGAGTTAAATTAAGTTCTGCCCTCGGAACCCACTGGGAGGTGACAGTATCCAACATATATTTTGAACACTTGCCGCCCTTGAAAACCTCCAGGAGATCATCTCATCCCAGTGGCCTAGGATCGCACCCAATCGGGCGGCATAACGGGAGCGCCGATGGTTTCTTCAGCCTGGGTACCGTCACCTGCCTGGGGCTGCCACTGATTGCCAACACAACTGGGCGGTGCGGCCTCGTGCAAGTCGACCATGTCGCCACACAGCAACGGTCAACGAAAGGCCTGAGCACATTCGATACAACAAAATAGTCGATGGAAGATCGAGGTGTTCCAAGCTGGCACGCCCACTGAGCATCGTCAAAAACCACGTCAGCCTGGAGGTCCCCTAGCCACCCAGACTCAATAAGCTGCTCACCAGGAAACTGAAAATCCCCTCCCAATATGAAGGGCATCCCGTATGCACGGAGAACTTCCCCGATGTTGTGGAGGAGGGTGAGGTCTTGACCCCTGCAGCCGATCCCCGTGTGTAAGTAGACTGAACCGACGACGACTCCGCCCGTGCAGAAACCGCTCCAGAGAGCTAACCAAAACCGATGATCAGGAGGTAGAGCGATACCAGGGGGGAGAGCGTCGAGGCCGTTGAGGCCCCAGAGCTTCGGTGTAGCCATGCCCACTCCTCCAGACGTGCCAGACTCTGAACGACCCGACGGCGCCGCTGGGGATAGCAAAGAATTCAGCCATGCCTTCCGCAGGGCATGCTGGACGTCTGCCAGCTGAAACTCAGACTGGCGATGCTCCTGGAACAAAACCAAATCGGACTCCACGGCGTGAATCAGCTCTAGGAGAGGCCTGCGTGAGACCCTGGAGCCCTTGTCACACTCCACTCCCCACGTAGTAATATTAGACGAACAGATCCCCCAGACCTCAGGTCGCCTATGACGAACAGGCTTAGTTGAAGGGGAACCCTCCGCTGGAGGTGCCGACGGGGAGAAAGAACACGCCTGATGATGGGAAAACGCCTGGCAGGCACGAGTCTCCAGCCCCCCCTCGCGAGGCCCCAGCTTCGCCGCAAATCTGGGAGTCTTGCTTCCCCGCGACCTCCACCAAAGCGGTCGCGGCCCTGGCGGACCTGCCTCTCGCGCCCGCCAAGACCTCAGGTGCACTCGAAGATGAACCAGACGCCGAAGGAGAACTCGAGAGAGAACCCAGCGCCACCTCGGACACCTTGCCGAGCATGTTACCCCCCGTGTGGTCCATCACCAGCAGCTGCGGAAACATCAGCACCAGGGCCGTGGCCAGCCCCAGCACCAGGAACACGATGACCTCCAGGTGCAGCCGCCGCCGCAAGCGCTGGGGGATCACGCCTGGGCCGCTTGGCGAGGGCCGCGGGGTTCTCCAGGAACTCCAGCATCGTCTTGAATAGGCCCTCGTACTGCCCCGCTTTGCCACCCTGCATGAGCTCTTGGAGCTGCTGCTTGCAATCCTCGGCCACCCTGGAGTCGATGGCCGATGTCGAAGTAGCCCCAGCATCACTAGCATCGCCACCAGCAGCCGCCCGCTGGGCCGCTGCCTCGGCCGCCTGCCGCTGGCGCGCTCCCTCCTCATACTGGAATTGATGCCCTGCCGCGGATAGGTCGCCCAGGAGGTCAACCACCGACTGGAACTGGGCCGCCTTTGCCGACTTGAAACCTGCAGGGAGATGGCCGAACAAGGTCTCGACCAAGCCCGTGATTGCCGACTTCCCATCAGCACCCACAGGGTGAAGGACGGCTCGGCGATGAAGTCGCTGCCACTCCTCCTCCTCACGCTTGACAGACTCCGCCAACTTCTGCTGAGACTCCAGGCACTCCGCCAAGTCCTGCTCGAGCTCAGCTTGCTTCTGCTTGATCGAAACCTCCGTGGACTGCGCTGCCTGAAGCTGGCCCTGGTAGTGGGCCAACTTGTCCTTATGTAATCGCACCCGCATCCAAGGCGTCTGGCCCTGGACGTCATCAGGTGCGGCGGACACGATAGGGATCTGGGCCTTTGCTGCCACAACCAGCGGGCGTTCGGGCCCAAGGCCTGCCAGTGTGAGCTGCTCTTTCCCTTTGGCACGAGCGGCAGCGCCCCCTTTGCCATGCCCACGGCCAGGCTTTGCAGGTGCACCTCCGCTTGGGGACTCAGCAGCACCGTGATCGGGCATGGAACCACCTTTGCGGCCTCGGCCACTCTTGCCCACCAGCTGCCAAGCATCCTGTGCTTGCTGCTCGCCCGTTATCCAGGGTCTCGGGGGCCCTTGGACAGTGTCACGAACAACAATATCGCGAATCCACTTCTTACAGCGAAAACACCTGCCCCACTCCACCAGGTTATACTGGTAGCCGCACGAGTTCTTGCCATAGCACGTCTTTCAACCACTCTGCGAATGCGGGCGGTCACGCGCCTGACGAGGAGGCCCCTTGGGCGGATCTGGGACCATCACACGCGCGCGCGACACGCCGAAATAAAATCTCGCCTGGCCAGGCAAACGAGGGGCACTGTGGGGGCCGCTGCTCCCCCTTGCCAGTGAGGCCAGGTCCTGAACCGAGGCTACGGACTTGAGCCAAAATGGCTACGGACTTGGAGGACTCTTGGGCGATCTTGGGTCGATCTTGGGAACCTCTTGGGCCGTCTTGGGCCGTCGGAAAGCCGAAAAGGCGCAAATGCCAAAATCCTGCAAAAACCTACGGAAAAGCAATGATGTTGGCCCTTTCGGGCCTTCCTGGGGGACGTCTTGGAGGGCTCTCGAGCCGTCTTGGGGGCCTCTTGCGGGCCTTTTGGGCCGTCGTAGACCATCTTGAGGCCATCTTGGGCCATCTTGGGTGCATCTTGGAGCCATCTTAGACGCCTTTGAGGCCATCTTGGCTGTCTTGGAGGCATCTTGGAGGCCATCCTGGGCCATCTTGGCCGTCTTGGGGGCCATTTTGGGCCAACTTGGGGCAACAAAGGCATTGACGGACGGATGTTCGGGAATCTCGCGGGACCCTGGCGGGCGGAAGCCCCAGGGGGAGTTCTTTTGGAAAAAGAACCAAAACCAACAGCCATATGGTCCGGCACGCCAGGCACCCCTTTGATAAATCAAAAGGGGGCGGCGGATCCCAGTGGCCTTCGGCCCATCCCGCCACCGTGTCTGGGTTGTGGGTCTGAGGCCTCTTGTGTATGCGATGGGGTGTCGTGGGGAGCCTTTCGAGGGTTTCTTGGAGGCGGTTTCGGCGCCTCTTGGGGGCCTCTTGGGGCAAAGATGGCCCCAAGATCGCCCAAGAGGCCTCCAGGATGGCCCCAGAACAGCCTAAGAGGCCCCCAAGACGGTCCCAAGAGAGCACCAAGACGGCCCACGAGGCCTTCAAGACGCCCAAGATGGCCCTGGAGCACCCCAAGAGGCCCCAAGTCGGCCCAGAAAGGCCCCCAAGAGGGCTTCCGACTGCGTCAGACGGGCCAGGAGCCCACCAAGACGGCCACAGAGGCCCCCGAGAAGCCCCCAGAGGCCCCCAAGAGGCCCAAAGAGGCCCTCAAGATGCCTCCAAGAGGCTCCCAGGAAGCTCCCAGGAGGCTCCAGGAGTGTCCCAATAGGCTCCCAAGATCCCCCCTCCTCCTCCTCCTCCTCCGCCTCCTCCTCCTCCTCCTCCTCCTCCTCCTCCTCCTCCTCCTCCTCCTCCTCATTGTCCTCCTCCTCCTCCTCCTCCTCCTCCTCCTCCTCCTCCTCCTCGTCCTCCTCCTCCGCCTCCTCCTCCTCCGTTTCTCCCTGATCTTCCCCGCCATCCTCCCCCAAGTGTTCCCCGAAGGGTTTCCCCAACGGTTGGGGGAACACATGGTCCGATCGCTTGGCGGAGCTCTTGCCACAACGCTCAGCCACATGGGCGATTCTAGAAGGCAGGGGGCGGCGGTAATTCGCCGTACAGGTCTTCGATAACGCCAACGTCGAAATATGCGCTGATGAGTCCTATCCGCCCCCGCATGATGTTCCCAGATGTGCCAAGGCATCGCCGAGACGCACCGACGCGACTCTGATGTATCCCATTATGGTAGAGAGGGGGCCGGCGGCAGGGGGCGAAGCCCTTACGGATAGTACCAATGTGAGTCTTACTAAGAATAGTAGTCGTAGTATGACCAGTAGTAGTAGTAGTAGTAGTAGTAGTAGTAGTAGTAGTAGTAGTAGTAGTAGTAGTAGTAGTAGTAGTAGTAGTAGTAGTAGTAGTAGTAGTAGTAGTAGTAGTAGTAGTAGTAGTAGTAGTAGTAGTAGTAGTAGTAGTAGTAGTAGTAGTAGTAGTAGTAGTAGTAGTAGTAGTAGTAGTAGTAGTAGTAGTAGTAGTAGTAGTCAGTAGTAGTAGTAGTAGTAGTAGTAGTAGTAGTAGTAGTAGTAGTAGTAGTAGTAGTAGTAGTAGTAGTAGTAGTAGTAGTAGTAGTAGTAGTAGTAGTAGTAGTCAGTAGTAGTCGTAGTCGTAGTCGTAAGTAGTAGTAGTAGCAGTAGTAGTAGTAGTAGTAGTAGTAGTAGTAGTAGTAGTAGTAGTAGTAGTAGTAGTAGTAGTAGTAGTAGTAGTAGTAGTAGTAGTAGTAGTAGTAGTAGTAGTAGTAGTAGTAGTAGTAGTAGTAGTAGTAGTAGTAGTAGTAGTAGTAGTAGTAGTAGTAGTAGTAGTAGTCATAGTCGTAGTCGTAGTAATAATAATAGTAGCAGTAGCAGTAGTAGTAGCAGTAATAGTAGTAGTAGCGCTCGTAATATACCTACGATTCGAAGTTGGCCTGAAGATAACCCAATTCGGCCCCCCCGCCCCCCTCCCGCCGACCAAAAGTGTCTTGCCCAGAGGTGATCAACACAGGAGGGGTGAGAGGCTGGTATACTTCTTTATCCGGGGCATGCCGTTAACGTGGACCCCCAGAGGTCTTGTCTGGACCTCTTCTCTGGGACTGGCTTTTCATCTTGAACCGTTTTCTGACGGTCCCGAGGCCCGATAAGGAACCCCAGAGGCAGAACATAACAAAGAACCTTCCGTCGTGATTCCTTGCGCGACCCGACGGGGTCTAGGCCCAGCGCACAAACACAAAAACTTTCGGAGATCTGCGCGGATTTCTTACTTGCATCGGCGTTAGGCCCTCCACCCTGACGCGTGGAGCGTGCCAGGGGCGGCGCAAGATGCGCCACCAGGGGGGCGCCGCGCCGATCCAAGAAATCCGTCCAGACCTCCGAAGTGTATGTTTGTAAAGCTGTTGCTTCGACGCCATTGATTGCCCGCAGAAGCGTCCCAGATGGGGTCGAACTAAATGGTTCCGGAGGGTCGCGCCGCATCGCCGATGCATCGGCGATGCTCCGGCGACGTCGGCGATGCAGCGGCGACGTCGGCGTGGAGGAAAATCGGGCTACGTCTCGAGCCGCATCGGCGATGAATCGGGTATAAGACGCGATCCTCCGACCCCATCTCCCAGATCAGGAGGGCCAGGCGCTGGCCCTACATCCATAGACAAGGCCCTCACCTTCGAAGAAGCACGGGTGTTTCTCAGAAGCCCTCCCCCCCTCCCCCCAACCCCCCTCCGCGTGGCTGATGTTTCTTCGTCGACGCCCCCGCCGGGTCCTCCGCCTTCAGCTCGTCGGACAGGGTGCCCGCGGCGCACGTGTACGAGAGCGGGTCCGCCGGGGCGGGCAATGCCTGCGCTGCTGAGGCAAGCGGCCCGAAGGACCGCTCGGAGACCCGCGCAGGGGGCCCTTTGGGGCCCGCGGGCCCCCCTCCTTGGCGCGGAGCGCGCCAAGGGGGCCCAGCGCCGATCCCAGAAACCCGCGCAGACCTCCGAGAGATTCTGTGTTTGTCGTTTTGGCTCTTCGATACAAGTCGGCGACTACGAAAAGGTGTGGTTTGCAAAATGCGCGAGGTTTGCAACCCGGACCCTTGGGGGGGGCGCGCGGTTCGAAGATGTCAGGATCGGCCCAAGATCGGCCTGCATCGAATCGGGGAACTGGCTCGGGTCGGAATGCAAGTCGGATCGGGCCGCGCAGACGCTGAGTCGGAATCGAATCGGATCGGCAGCGCCTGGACGCACAACAGCACCATACAAGCGTCGGGCCGGCTGGGATCGAACGAAAATCCAATCGAATAGGATATTGCTGAATGGGTATCGACACGGATCAATCAGAATGTTGCAAGTCCTCCAAAGGCCCACGCCTCCCAGGGCCCCTGGGAGCGCCCCTGGGAGGCGCACCGCGAGCGTTGGGAGGCCCCTGGGAGGCCCCTGGGAGCGCCGTGGGATTTGTGCGAATACAAATAAAACTTCCCCTCCGACCAGCACTTGATTCAAACACAAAGCAAGAAAGATAAAATCGATCTAATTCCGTACCCAAACTCAGTCGCGAGGAGGTGCGTCCACCCTCCCGCCCAGCTTATGAGCCACAACGGCCACGGGCGGAAGGGACAGGTAATTCATCAGCACCTCAAATAAATCTCACATCCTCGCCCACCTGATTTTCACACAGCAAAAAGATACCGTTACTGAAGAACGCGTTGCAGATTATGAAGCAAACCTCCAGAATATTCATGAACGTGCCTGTCGGCTCGACCGGCCACAAGCCGCCCGCACACCGAACAACACCTATCAAGATAACTAATCAAATCTTGAACAGCAAACATCAAAATATATAATCCAATCCTCAGCAACAAGATCAAGATAACATATCAAATATTGCTGCAAAAATCATCCATTCACTTGACAAGGTGTACTCATCTTCTCTTCACCTGAGAGGGTGCACACACATCTCCTCAGCCAACAAACGTATACACAAAGCTGATAGCCATATCACGCACCCGCTTCCACCACCCAATGTAAACACAAAGCTGGTAGTGAAATCTCAATAAAATCTCCCGCCATCCATCATCAACACAAGGTTGGTAGTGACATCTGATCGTAACTGAGCTGACTTGAAGATGCTGTAGGCGATGTACGACTTGATAATTGAAACCAGTATGTAGCTCCTGCTCTCGCCTGCGTCCAGCTTCAGACACCGGCCCAAGCAATTAGCGCAGTGCTTGTCCTTACTATCTATGTCTGCGAAGCTGCTGCCTTCGTATTTGCCACCCTTGATGCGCATCGGTCCCAGCGTAGCCAACCATTGCCTCATGAGAGCACTGTCCTCCAGGTCGATTCTCGTCCTTGTAGTCATAGAAGCGCTCGTCTACATAATTGTACGTCTCCACCGGCCAGGTAGATACCTCATCGTTCCCATCGGTGTCGCCGTACAGTTCCTGGTTGACGTACTTAGCCATCTTCGCGTTCAGGTTGTCGACCTCAACTGTTGGCTGCCACTTTCCCTCGTCCAACTTGCTTCCGTCCGCGCATTGATGGCGCTCTGCCACCCGCATTTCCGATATTTTCTGGATTCTCGCGTCTTCCCCCGACTTCCAATACTTCCAATATGTCCTGGGAATCGCGGATTATTTGTCTATGTATTTGTTCCTTTCCTGACTGACTGATCCTTTGAACCCACGACAGGCGGCAATCTCGAACGTCTCAGGTACCTGTCGACCGTCTCAGGTGCCGACGGCAGTTTCAAACGTCCCATTGGTCGACGAAGGAATTCTATTAAAGATCCTATGGCGTTCCGGAGAGTATTGGGAGGCTCTGGGAAATTCTCGGAAGCTCTAGGTGGGAGAGGACGGAATCGAAGGAGGGGGGAGGAGGTGCAGCTGAGCCAGCCCCCCCCCCCTGCAGTGGCAACTCACGGGAGCCTCCCACGCCATCGCTCCCGCGAAAGGTCACTGATTGACGCTGGTCGACGCTGATCGATGCTTCGACGCTAGGCGACGCTATAATCCACGCTACATCGGCGCTATCACATCGATCACTAGGCGCTCATCGACGCTAGTCGACGCCAAAGACGAAAGTGCAGTGGCATGCAAGTCTCCCATGATTTGCCACCGAGCCTCCCCCTGTCGGCATCCGCCGACCCAGACATGCGATGCCTTTAACTTTCCAATACGAGGCCCCCAAAAGTCCCGACACCTTCCCCAAGGCCCGTTCGTCTGTCCTGAGCCACAAGCATCCCGCCGTGAGTTTGGTTCCACGTCGCGAGCACTCCTGGGGAGCTCCTCCTCCTCGGGAAAAACAAGAAGCAGCAACAAAGACATAGACTGCGGGCGCTCCGCGCAGAACTCCGAAAGTTTACAGCGGTGCTGCTGAAATTAGCAACGCTAAATCAAGAAAGAAGTTCCTCTGTGGCCCTCAGTCATGGAAGGACGCCAAGGAACATCGCGCCGCTTCCGAACCCAGACTGCTCCTTCAAGTCAGCGTCTTGACTGTATGGTTGTGCCGCTGTTTGTGCCCTGATCCTTGGCCTGGCCAGGGCCCCCTCCCCCCCAAGAAAACGGAGCCAGGACGAGGATAAGTTCGGGTTAGGATGCATCGACAACCTCTGAGATCTGGCGGCCTTGAAAGATGTCTTGGGCGCCGCGGCCTCCTCAGAGCGCCTGGAACGCCCTGAGAGCGTTCCCGAACGCTCTGGAACGCATTTATCGAGAGCGCGCAAACAGGGATCGGGGGAGGTGCCCTCCCCAAAATGCAGCTGGTGCCGCCTCGCTCGGCGGCGGAAATCCGCGATTTCCCTTGGAAACGAAGCCCGTCGCTAATCCACGCCCCTTTGATCCATGTTTGAGATCGCCTGGTCATCCTCGTCCTTGTCCCGTCCGAGGAGCACCCCTCCCCGCGGGCGCCCCCTCCCCCAGCGGGGGGGGGCCTTCGAATAGTCGGCGTCGCGGCCGAGCTCGAGCCTCCGCTGCCCGCCACGGCGCGGGGACGGCCCCACCCACGGCAGGGCCGTCGACTCCTTGGAGAAACAAGACAGTCAGCGGAAGCGCTGCAGTCGGACCTAGGCCACACGAACCTCCCTCAAGAACACGAGACCCTCCGCCAGCGAAAACACTGAACTTCCAACGCCTCCCTCCCCAGGATGCACAAGGGCGTCCGAAAAACACGAAGAACACTAGGGTACCCTCCCCGAAGCGACCTCGATCTGATACCTCGGTCCGGCTGTAGAGCAACAAGACAGCGGAGGCGTCACCTTTCGGAGCTCCGAGCGGACTTCTTGGATCTGCGCTGGGCCCCCTGGCGGCACCTCTGGCGCCGCCGCTGGCCCGCGGAGCGCGCCAGGAAGAGGGGTCCAGCGCAGATCCAGGAAAACCGCGCGGACCTCCAAAAAGCTACGTTTCTGGGTTGTGTCTTCTCTGGCCCACCCACGGCAGTTCCGCCGTCCGCCATCGTCGTCGTCGTCCGCTCTTCTCTTTGCTCGGCGGCGAGCTGCGCAGCACCCTCGCGGCCAAAGAAGAACAACGCCAAAGGACAGGGCAGGAGAAAGACAGCCCGCGCATGCGCACGGAGGCCTCTCAGTGGCGAGAGAAAGCGGCCTACATGGGGCATACCCCCAGAGACGGCCACATCCAGGCCACGCGGAGAACCACGCCGTCGTCATCCATTCTCCTCCACCTCCACCTCCACCTCTTCCACGTCCTCCACGTCCTCCTCCTCTTTTCTCGTTGTCCTCCTTCGCCTCCTCCTCCTCCTCCTCCTCCTCCTTCTCCTCCTTCTTTCTCATTGTCCTCCTCCTCCTCCTCCTGCTCCTCCTCCTCCTTCTCCCACCGAGGCCACGGCTGGATCCGCCTCCAGATCCTGGCCAGAATGCACCCCAGGAAGGGACCATGGGGAGAACGAGAGGGAAGATATTCCCAGGCCTCCAGCGGATGGCTATGTTTAGTCCCGCCGCTCGGCCCCAGAATCCGTCCTGGGGGGCCGCTTTCAAGCGCCAGGGCAATCAGAATGGATGTGGGACGAAAGAAGTGCCCCCCGCGGAAAGGGAGGGGTCGAGACCTCTGGAGCTGGCCACGCCCCCCATCCGGAGCTGGGTCGAATCGCGAGAACGGACCGGATCGAATCGGAGTTTCCGCGGAACTGGATCGGGAGCGGATCGTGCGGACATCATGTTCATCACCATCATCATCATCATCATCATCATCATCATCATCATCATCATCATCATCATCATCATCATCATCATCATCATCATCATCATCATCATCATCATCATCATCATCATCATCATCAGCATCATCATCATCATCATCATCATCATCATCATCATCATCATCATCATCATCATCATCATCATCAATCATCATCATCATCATCATCATCATCATCATCATCATCATCATCATCATCATCATCATCATCATCATCATCATCATCTGCATCACCATCATCACAATTACCATCATCATCAGCATCATCATCGTCAGCAGCATCATCAGCATCATCATCATCATCATCAGCGTCATCATCATAATCATCAGCATCATCAGCATCATCATCAACATCAACAGGATCATCATCCTCAGAATCATCAGCATCATCAACATCAACATAATCATCATCATCGTAATCATCAGCATCAGCATCATCATCACAACCATCACAATCATCATCATCAGCAGCATCATCATCATCAGAGGCAGCAGTGTCATCATCGTCAGCAGCAGCATCAGCATCAGCATGAGCATCATCATCACCATCATCAGGATCATAATCAACAACACCATCACATTCATCATCAGCATCATCATCATCAGCATCATCAACATCATAAATCATCATCAGCATCACCATCATCAGCATCATCGTCATAACCATCATCGGCATCGTCAGCATCATCATCAGCATAATCATCATCACCACCAATCAGCATCAATGTTACCTCCATCTCCATCACCATCACCATCACCAGCAACATCATTATCAGCATCAGCATCAGCATCATGTTCATCATCATCATTATCATCATCATGATGATGATGATCATCATCATCATCGTCATCATCATCGTAATCGTCATCATCATCATCATCATCACCGTCATCATCACCATCCTCATCCTCATCATCCTCCTCATCTTCATCCTCATCATCATCATAATCGCCCTCAATATCAGCATCAGCATCATCAGCATCATCACCGTCATCATCAGCATCATCATCGTCATGCACCTTCCCCAACGTCGTCGTCGTCATCGTCATCGCCATCATCACCATAACCATCATCAGCAGCAGCAGCATCTTTCTCACAGTCCCCGTCATCATCATGCTCTTCGTAGTCGTCCTCCTCCTCATCACCTTCCTCCTCCTCTTTCCTCCGTAGCCATTTGGCTCAAGCCACTGGGACTTGAGCGGCGGCGGCCACACCTCTGCTCGAAACGCCGGAGGGTGACAACCATCCGAACCAGCCATGGCGGGAGACGCGCTTGGAGCTGAACTTGCACCGCTGCCTCTGGTGGTCCAAGCGGCATGCGGTGCTGCGCTGGCCAGCCTGCGCGACGTGCGGCGAGCGCGGCAGACACATGCATGTGTCGCGGCGGCGGCGCGTGAAACTGTTCAAGAAGCACTGGTGCCAGTTGAACCCAGCTGTGGCGGGATCCCCGCCCCGCCTGGTCCAGGCCGTCCTGAACCTCGCGTGCGACAGAACAGGCGACGCCTGCAAAATCACAGGCGCCAAGGACCTGGTGAAGACAGTCGGCGGCAAGGGCATGGCAGAGTCAAAAAGCTTGACAAGGTGAGACCCGTCCAGCTCATGTGAGTTTGGCGCAAGCTGTGAACAAGGTGCTGGCCTCCATACCCAAGGAAAAAGGAATTCGAGCTGGTGAACGAGAGGGCCGGCGAAGGCAAAATGAAAGCCTTCTCGGACCGCAAGGACGAGCTGAAAGTCGAATTCGACAGTTTCAAGACGGAGCGCACTAAAAACGTCGAGCAGCAGCAGCTGCTGGAGAATACCATCACCGAGCAGAACGGCCAACTGGAGCTTGTGAGCGTCAGCGTCGGAGAGCTGCGGCACCCAATGGGTAACACCATCAACGATGGGGATGACAAGATGACCAACACATGGACAGCACTTCAGACGAAGCTCTTCAGACGAAGCTACAGTTTTCGATGGTGAAGCAGATGCAGAAACAAGGTGGCTGAGAAAGTCTGCATGGTCAGAAGCCGTTCGTCACAGGCCTGAATGCCATGATAGTGATACTGACAAAGATAATGATGGTGCTGGTGCTGACGACGATGCTGGTGATCATTCAGAGGATGCTAATGCTGGAAACGGTGATGCGAAGAAAGCTGATACTGATAAATACCACGATGACCTAGGTGAAAATTACGGTGACGATGCGTATGGCGACGATGGTGAATGTTCACGTAGTGACGCTGACGATCATGATAATCACGATGGCAGTGATGCCGCACATGATCACGATAACAATGGTGTTGATGGGGATGATGATGATGGTGTTGGCGATGCTGGTGGCACAATAGATGATGATGTTGATGATGATGATGATGACGATGATGCTGATGATGATTGCAATGACGATGACAGTGGTGATGATGACGATGGCGGTGATGATGATGACGGCGATCATGGTGATGGCGACGATGCTGTATATGATGGCAATGATGATGACGATGGCGATGATGACGATGACGACGATGGCGATGCTGAGAATATGATGATGGTGAGGGTGAAAAATCTGATAAACAGGATGGTGACGACGGTAATGACTACGACAACAATAACGATCACGATGAGGATGGTGCTGACGATTATGACTCCGATGGCAATGGCGATGACGATGACGATCATGGTATAGTGCGGCGTATGCAGGCAATGGAGATGACGATGGCGATGATTACGATGGTGACAATGACGATGTCGAAGAGATGTGGGTGGTGATAGAGATGATGTATATCATTATCACTATGATGACGACGATGGTGGTGACGATGCCGAAATTGATGGTGATCATGATAGGGGTGGCCACCAATGACGACGCCTAAAGTTATGATGAGAACAACGGCAGTGTTGTCGGTAATGGCGCGCGGAGAATGACGAAAAAATGGATAACGATGACAACGCTGAGGATGATGAAGACACTGGCGATGATGAGAATGAGAAAATGGCAGTGACGCGAACCACGCCTTGCGCGCCCCCTCAGCACTCGCCCCCTCCTGCCACTCGGCCCTTTCCTCGAAGGGTCACCTCGCTAGCGGGGGCGTGTCCGCGTCGATCTTCCACGGCTCACCGAAGACGTGCACCTGCGCCCTCCGCCCTGCGCCTTCGAAGATGACTGCCGCGGGCCCGCGGGGGCTGCGCGCCACCTCCACGACCGCCTTCACCTCCTTCATCAGCGGCGCCAGCACGTCGGACACGATGAAATAATCGACCCCCCCCCCCCCCATCGTCGCACCGCCGCTGGCGATGACTGAGCCCGAATTCCCGGGGGCCCATTCCTGGAGAAGGCAAGGGCCCATGTCCCCGTCGCCCCCCAATGACCCAGGGACACCCTGTCCTCGGACCTGCCCGCCGACCTATTACAGTAGCTGCCTGCTTTCTTCCAAGCCAACGCCGTGCTCGAGGTGCACCGACGCCATGGGCGCCTTCACTTGCAGGCCCAGGCCCACCTCCAACGCCACCCGCCTGCGGCCCCAGTGCCTGGGGGCGCCCGCCAGCTCGCTGCCCCTCGCCTTCGTCGCGAGCACCGCCGCGCCGCCGCTCGATTCCAGGGCCCCTGCCCCCGCCGACTCCGTTCTGCCCGCGGCTGCCTTGCACGCGCATCTGCACGACCGTGCGCTCGCCTCCTAGTGCGCGCGGCGATTGGCGGGTCTCGCCGCGGCGCCCCTGCAGCAGAGCGCGCCCGGGCACCTTCGAGCCCGCGCCCTGCGCCTCCACCGGCAGCCGG